GCTGGATAGAAGAATTTCTTCGACAACGCACCATGGCAGTTCGGGTTTTTGGGTCACTTTCTGATCTCATCATCGCAGCACGAGGAGTTCCACAGGGATCCGTGCTTGGCCCTCAACTTCTCCTTGTTTTTATAACCGACCTAACGAATATTCTGGAGCCGTTAATGTTTGCAGACGATGCAAAAATATGGAAACCGGTGACAAAGCCAGAGGACTCGCTAGCACTTCAGAGAACACGTAATGCTGTTTATCAGTGGTCGATCGAAAATGACATGGAATTTAATGCATCAAAATGTACGGTCCTATCCCTTCGTCACAAAACTCGGTTTCCGTAGTTCCTGGGAGATCAGTAACTTCCATATGTCTCGAATGAGAAGAATCTTATCGTCATTCTTCAAGATTACTTAAGTTGTTCTTTAAACTGCTCCTGGGCGTCGTCCACCGCTGCAAAACATACTGGTTTGCTAGGCCGAGCATTTGGCAAATTTGCACCTACCCTGTTTCCACGGTTATCAGCCTACATTCGGTCCTACTTAGAGTATGCAATTCAAGCGTGGAATCCATGGCAGCAATGCAATCGGAAGATTCTGGAACGTCCACAAAGAAGGACCACCAAAATGGTCAAGGGACTGCATTCCAAGACTTGCGTGAAGAGTCTGGAATTACTGCCACTTGACTCCACATAGTATCGCCGAATTCGAGGGGATTTGATTTTGGTATATCCAATAATACAGAACCCTGATCGTCCATGTCGTTCACTCTTTGTCTTGTCGCCCAACTCTCACCTCAGGGGGCACTCATTCTAATTGGTGCTCCAAAAATGTCGACTAGAATGCTGACGTCATTCATTCGTCCTCAGAATGTGCACCACTTGGAATTCTCTACTACTCCACGCCTACAATTGACTCATTCAAGCACAAAATGTACGAAAATTTGATAAGTTTCCAATTCTAACATCCGTAGCAGTGCACGAAACAAGGATAATTTCATTTCCTCAACTTTCTTTGAACCGTGAATCGATTCATCTGTGCTCAACCCTATGGGACTAGAAAAGCAACCGCTTGTTAGTATTTCCTATATATATTACCATCAGCAATTATCACGGTCAGGATGTGGGTACATTCGTGAACGCGCGCATCAGCCGGTAAATAGGCGAGCAGATCAACAACAAGCACAGGAATCACATACAGTCGGAGTTCAATCGAGCAGAGCAGTCAGGTGAGCAAACAATCGATCATAGTAGCCGGCAGCCCAATACTGAAATCTGATTGGCTAAGGGGGATCGATCATATAACACTAGGTAATTCAGCAGATCGCAAAAGTATCCTGCTAGGCAGAACACTTGGCTGTGGCACATTTTCACTGGGCGAAACTGTCAAGCCTAGTCATCACCTACCTGCGCATCTGGCACGGAAAGCCTACCGCTTTGTTTTGACCTTTCGCTGGTCATCAAAACAAGTCATAGTTGTCATTTAGGATGAACTAAGCGAATGATGCGAAATCTCATTTGCCGAACCCGTCATGTTTGAGGCTTCCCGAAAAACAGTCAAAATAAAGGGGTCGATTTTTCTCACCAGATGCACTGGTGATTCAGGCGTGTGTGTGCGTGTGGGGGGGGGAGGTGGAGGTGGATAAGCTTGTGAGTTGTGATCATGCTTTACCATTTGACACAGCTTCGCTCGGGTAAAAGTGCAAGTGAACCGCAGCTAAAGTTCTGACTCAGTAATGCGCTTCCGATCGGCTAACTCCCCCCCCCCGGACACAGGAATTCCGTTCGCGGGAAGGGCNTTCGCGTGAAGTGCATGTGATGGTAGCAGGCAGCATCGGCCAATCAGTCCGTCATACTGTGGGCATGTGTGGCCAACGTTTTGGTTAACCTCGCCCTCCACAAATAAGTCGGGATAAGTATTTCACAGAAGAGATAACTAAAAAAACCGAAATTTGGAATGCTTATACAGTCCAACAATCTCCGCTTCGATCTAAGCTTCACGCTTATTTATGGAAAATCGGATTCTTCCTGTTATTTTCAATGCCGTCCCCGAATGTTCCCGTTCGCATAACCCCTTTTGGTATTGTGAATGAAAAGCGTGAGAAGTTTTCGATGTTTGGAGATTGTTAAGAGGATGTACAACTTAGTCCTGTATATGGTTCGCTTAAGTCAAAAACAAGAGACGGATTATCCCGTCCAATATCTGAACGGCGTGGATTAATGAATTTTCCCAGTTGGTCACCAGTTGCTATGATAAAAGCATTTCCCTTGTATACTGCAACTAGGTCGCTAATTTTCTGCATTA